AACATGGACCATGGACATCACCACAGACCCCAGCTGTAGCAGGACCATGGACCCAGACATGGCCCTCAGATTACCATGCCCAGGGTGGCAGCATGGGCCCCAGGCCCCAACATGGTCCCAGGTGGCTGGCCACACCCCAGGCATCTTCAGAGCCCTCAGTGGCCACTGGAGCCACAGACACTACACCAGACCTCAGCCTCTACGGTACCACAGACTCAGACATGGCCCTAGGCAGCAGCCTGTGCCTGGACATCACCATGGCTCCTGGTGGCAGTATCAGCCACCCAGATCAGCATGGCCCTGGGCATGGCACAGTCATTGGTCACCAACATGGTCAGCCATCTACATGGCCTTTGGGAACATCAGGACCCCATTAGGAACCCCAGATATCAACTCAGATGCTGGCTGCTGTAGGGCCATGGACCCAGACATGGCTCTCTGCAGCAGCCCTGGTCAGGATAATACTATAGTCCCAAGTGACAGCACAGGACACTCTGATCAGGATGTCCCTGGTGGTGGCATGGCTTTCAAATGCCCTTATGGCCACAGATTGTGGCCCAGACCCTGGGCATCTATGTGGCCTTTGGTGGCAACATGGGCCACAGACATCAATACAGACCTTGTCTGTGGTAGAACCATGGAACCAGACATGTTCCTAGATAGCATCCTTGGCCTAGATGTCATCATGGTCCCAGGTGGTGGCGCAGGACACCCAGCATCACCATGATCTTCAATGATCTCAGGAGCCACAGACATCAACATAGACCCTGGCTGTGGCAGGGCCATGGACCCAGATATAGATCTCAGCTGCAGCCCCTAGTCTGGATGAAACCATGGCCTCAGCTGACAGCCCTGGCCACCCAAATTGGTCTGCTCCCACCCCTGGCAGCACAGCCCTCAGACACCAACATGGCCTCGAGTGGCGGTCTAGACCACTGGCCCTTGCACGGCCCCCAAGAGCCACGGACATCAATACAGGCCCCTTCCGCTGCTCCAGGGCCCTGGATCAAGTCTTGGCCCTTGGTCATAGCCAAGGCCCAGACATCTCCCTGGACTTGGGTGGTCACTCGTGTCTGCCCTTTCCTCACTAACCTCAACTCTCCCTCTCTTCCACCTCCCCACCCTGTCCTCTCTCATCACACAATGGTACCCAACTGCCCAGAGCCAGAGCTCTTGATTAGGTCACAGGTGGCTCTTGGTTGAGTACTGCCTGTGGCAGGGAGCTGCACCTTTCCTCTCTCTGGTGCCCGGGCCTAGAGATGTCGGGAAGTACTTGGTATGATGGTACCTGATTGATTGAGACTCCGGCAGACCCCAAATCTGGTGGGGAGGAGCGGTGGTGCCCATCTGTGTCCACCGCTGATTCAGGCTCAGGTCGGGCCAGCAGTTCCTGGTTGATTGTGTCCTGGTTTTCTTCTGGTAGTTTTCGGTGTTACATTTAAGTCTTTAATTTACGCTGACTTTAAATTACTTTTTATTATATAGTAGTCTTATATGTAGATACTTTCCCCAAGATAATTTGCTGAAGACTACTCTCAGCCATTTTGTCTTCTTGGAAACTATCAACGATCACTTAGCTGGGAAGGCGGAATGGCTCAGTGGGTGGAATACTTGTTATGCGAGTCTGATGACGTTAGTTCAATATCCAGAATTCAGATAAGGTGGATGGACAGAAACAACTTCACAAAGTTGTCCTCCGACATACTCTCCCTCTCCCCCTCTTTCTCTCTTCCCATCATAACTCATGCATAAATACAAAAATAAAACTCTAAAACTGAACGATAAATGCATAGATATTTGTCTCAGAGTTTCTTTTGCTCTGATGAAACATCACGACTATAAGCAACTTGGGAAGGAAAGTGTTTATTTGCCTTATACTTCTCTATCACAGTTCATCATCAAAGGAAGTCAGGAAATAAACCCAAACAGGGTAGGTACCCAGAAGCAGGAGCTGATGCCAGGGTCAAGGAGGATTGTTGTTTGCAGGCCTCCTTTCCTAAAGCACCCAAGACGACCAGCCCAGGGGTGGCACCACCCATGGTGAGCTATGCACTCCTATATCAAATATCAATCAAGAAAATTCAGCACATGTCTGGAGAAATCCACTGAGCTCTGCAAAAAGACAGATGTTGCAAGGCTACTCTAACCCCCTCGCTGATGCAACCCTCCTCCACCCACACTGATGTAATTGTGGGTTTATCTTTAAAAACACTGTGCCCCTGAGCTCTGGCACCAAAAGAGATTTTGAAGGCATTACTTTACTCTTGGTCTGGCCATTATTAAAGGTCCCATACTCTTAATTGGCTTAATTAGCATGATTGCTGGTAATTGTCCCCCATGGATTGTTTTACTCTGAATTGAAAACATTCCCACAAGGAAAGAGTGAGAGGCTTATGAGACTTGGGAACTGAATGAACTTCACATGGATGAGAAGAATGAAACTTAGAGCATTCACGGGGATTCCTTCCCAAGGATACAGAAACAGTTAAGCAACTGCTGGGAGAGGAGACTAATCACCCTAGCTACCAAGAAGAGATTCTCCAACCTGTCTAGTTGCCTAGAGGTCAGGTAGAGAGCTCTGAAGTTTTTACACCATCACCCATGTTAGGGTAGGCTTTGGTGATGGAGCTGTTTTGAGTCATCTCTGTTCCTGTAAGTAACCCCAATAAAAACTCATTGGCTCACTGGGGGGGGGGCGGGCGGCGGCAGGTGTGTGTGTGTGAATTCACCACAGCCTCACAAGTCAATCTGATGGGAGCTTTTTCTCAGTTGAGGTTCCTTCCTCTAAAATGCCTCTGACTTGTATCAAGTTGACATAAAACCAGCACAGTATGGTTCTAGGTTACTGTTTCACTGGTTTATATACCATAGGCCTCTTGCTATACCAGGGCCATGCTGCTTACCATATCGATGCAGTACACTTTGCTAAGTTGCTTTTTTTGGTGATTTAAAAATTGTCTTTGGTTTTTGAGAACTTGATTATGTCAGGGTAAAGGTATTTTTACATTTAATATAGGTATCGTTCATGAATCTGCATACTGAGTTTTCACTTTTGATATGGTAAGGTTCTGACATTACTTCTCAAGCAATTCTTCACCTTTCTGGAGAGGAAAACCAATATCCAGACGCAAGGGCCCTGACTATACTGAATGTAAAGATCTTCAGCAAGGAGAGTGTAATAGTTGCTCTGTTGTTATTGCCTCTTAGGAACAGAAAATTCCTTAGGCCTTTTCTTTCCACAAGTTGTAAGTTTAACCAGTTTGGGGTTTGCCCTCAGGGTACTCCTCCCTTTATCCCAGTGCAGATTAGTCTCCCCCACAACTAGGGATAGTACCACACACAGTGAGAGCATATTCCCGTTTCAAACAATACAATCAAGACAGTCTTTCACAGACGTGCCGATAGGCCAAGCTAACCTAAGACAATTCCCCCTTTAAATGTTCTTCCCAGGTGACTCTAGACTGTGGCTGGGATATAATTAACATTACCTCAACTTCTTCTTGCTAAACCGTTTCTTTCTTTTTCCATGTATGGGTTTCAGGTTTCTTTTAGTTGTCTATGCTCACTGTAGAATATCTGAACTTCTTTCAGACAATTATTTGGAATTCTTCTCCAGGCACATTTTAGGTATAGGCTTCTTGAGGGTCAGGAATTGGTGATTATTCTACAACCTTGGTTGAATAATGTCTTTCTGATTTGTCATGATTTTCAGAGTCTTAATGTTGGTGTCTACACACCTGAAAAAGCAGCTACCTCTTCAAATATTTACAGACCATTTCAGCAGGGAAAGCCCTTTACTGGTCTGCCCAGAGTCCGTGGGTGGTTAATCTGATAATAACCTCAGAAGGTTGTTCACAGGGGTCTGTTCCATGGGGTCATCCTGGTGCCATCATCAACTGAGGAGAATATGAACAGTAGGCAAAGACAGTATGCCTGAAACACACTTGCAGATGGTAAAGTTCAGTGAATTTTTACATATTCACACTGTAAAACTTATCATTAATTTCAAAACAAAAGAAATTCTGTGCCCACAGCAGTACATGGCATTGAACTACTGTGGTGATGTGCACAATGTCTTGATCAACGCCCTTTGGTCTAGTGCTCAGTTCAACGTGTTACCTTCCCTTTGGCATGATGTATAGTGCCATTTCCGGAACTAAGCTTCATCACTCTACATTTGTGAGGGTGAAACTTCAAGCAGTCACTGATGACCAAGAAGGACACGTGGGTGGCCAAGAAAGAAGCCTTATTATTTTAAGCCGCTAAGATTTGGGGATAATTTGCACAAAGAACAATGTAGCCTGATATGACTCAAACACACATAACAGAAATCTGATGAGAAATTACTTAGGCAAGAAAGACTTTATTTTTAGCTGTTCAGAATCTGCGACTCAGAAATGAATCTGATTGCTAACTGGCCTCCTTAAATAGAACAAGTAAAATAGGCCAATTTCAAGTCAGATGATCTCTAAAAGAAACAGAAGAAAGTGACTTCATTGAGAAGAGAAATGACAGGATCACTTTATCTACCATCTAGGCACTGCAGCAGGATCCCTTCACAAACTCAGCCCTGCTGAGGAGAGAGATAAGGCTACAACAACCACACCTTTTTTTTTCTTTTTTTTTATTTCAACAGTTTCTTTCTAGAATTCTATCTGCAATTTCTTTGGTCTGTATTATGAGGCCAGAGACTTAATTCTTTCCCTGACAGTCACTTGCCTTTTAGCTACAGTATATCCTGCTGATGCAGCAGGTCCATGTTTGGTTCCCAATACTCACATTGGTTGCCTCACAACCATCTGAATCTTCAGCTTCAGAGTATCCGGCACCTTCTTCTAGACTTTATAGGCACTGTACTTGCATGCACAAAGCCATAGACAGAAACACACACACACACACACACACACACACACACACACACACACACACACACACATACACACACACACACGTAAATACATAAATGCAAATTTAAAAAGTTCCAATATCACAGAAAAAAATGTTTCATTTCATTCATGTTATTGTTCACTCAATATTTATTAACTAAACCATAGGTAGTTTAAATTTATTTCAAAAGGGAGATATCCCTGAAAAATATTAGGCAGAAAATGCAGTACCAATACTAGAAAAAAGTTTGAGAATATTCTACTAGAATTTATTTCCAAAGAAGCAAATGGATTTTGTCTGTTCTCTGAGACGTTCCTGAATTCTATGCATGGTATACTTCTGTTACATATATTTATACGTATTTTCAACTGTGTCACAACTTTACATAGGATTAAAATAAGCCTTTAGAATTTAGTTAATAATATTGTACTAAGATATTTCTTCTATACAACATATTTTAATAAAGTGCTTACAATCTAGGAATATATACATTCTAAGCAAGCATTTTAAATTAATTTTGGTATTTACTAACTTAAGTACTCAAGAACTTGATTTGAAGAATCCAATAGACTGAAAGTCTGTTTCTCAAGAGAATTTGGATCTTCTACCAATGCAGAGATTTTGGAATTTCTATATTCCAAGAGTTCATGATCCTTGCTTGATGCCAATAATTCATTATCGGTTACACCAATAGTTGCATCTTCTACCAGAATATTTGCCTGGTATGCTCCAACTGAGATTTCAGGTAATCCAATGTAGTCGTGATCTGCTACTATCGAACCTTGCAAGAGATAAAGACTGTCTGAAAGAGAGAGATCAATGTTTGAAGGCAAACGTCATTTTAAAGTTAAACATTAAGTGACGGATGAAGCTCAAAGCAATACAAATTAGTTCATGAATATTAACTTCTGAAAAGCTTTCTTATCAAGCTGGGAATGGTAACACACATCTTTAATCCTAGCACCTGGGAGGCAGAGGTGGGCAGATCTCTCAGTTTGGGCTACACAGAGAAACTCTGCCTCAAAAAACAACCAAACCAGAACCAAACCAAAGAAACCAACCCCCGCCCCCAAACCAAACCTTTTATCCTCTTAAAACATTCATAAAAGTGAACAAAATTATGTGTACACACACACACACACACACACACACACTTCACATATAAAGAATGTAGGACCATCAAAGATGTTGAAACAAAGCTTCCAACTTCCTTGAGTGGTCCTTGGTGTACAAGGAGCAGGAGTGATATAAGTTGAAACAAAATTACAGAACTATAATTTTGATACTGATGATATCCTTAATATGCATCTACAAAGCATTTCTGTGTGAATTAATGAGGGTATTTTAGCCAACTGAATTGCAAAACTCTTACATTTCTAATTTCAGATGCCCTCCAATTTGTACAGAATTCACAGTAGTACAAGTATATCAATGAGTTATAATATAAAGCCATAAACTAGAATAAGATAAAGTAGCCAAAATCTGACTCATGTGACAGGAATGTGTGGTAAGGCGAGCTCCAATGAAGCAGCTAAACTTATTTCAGTTGAATCTGACAGCAAAAGCCTTAGGAATGTTCAAGATCTACCTGATCTACACTCAACAGGAAACCTTTCCTTGTCAGTACTTTGTTATATCTTTAGCAAACTTATCATAAACTCCTTGGAAACAGGTCTAAAATAAGTTGTTAAACTAAGAGCAAAACAGCAGTCTCTTTCACTATAACGAATACAATAGACAAAAAAATTTCTCCAGGTCTGATTCTCCAATTCATCACAAAAAGGAACTCATCTGCCATAGCTGATTAACGTCATCCCCGCATTCTCTTTCTGGATCTTCTCCCAAACATTAACAGAGTCTCTTAAAGATTATAATAGTTTATAGAACCCTTTAATCTAAGTGTAAGAAAATAAGACTAATTGCCTATTTAGATCAGAGGTCAGTGGGGATCACCCCAGAGTTGGTAGCATGTTTGGGAAACTTCTCTCTAGAAGTTCATACATTTAAAAACTTAAAATTTATAAACTTTAGGAGCTCTTAGAATCCACACTATAAACAGGTGGCATAAAGAACTTGTGTGGGAGTCTCTGTAAACACTATGACCAGCAGACAAATGATCCACAAAAGGAAATCTGGTACAGCATGACTTAGCCTGGCTGGTTCAAACTTGCAGAGTCTGACACCAGGCAGTTTATTTTAGGCATATTTAAGCACAGCTCATTTTTGGAAAGTAGTTTCCTGATAATTAACTCAATCTCATGTATACAACAAAGCCTAAGATATGTTTAGATTGAAACTCTTTACAAAATAGATATGGTTTCTTACATAAAGATGGGTACTGTTGACTCAGAAACAATCCTCAAGATAATCCTCAAGAGTCTAAGGAGAATGACAGGAAAACAAAATAGCCTGTAGGAGTCAGGACTGGTCTGGCTCTAAGATAAACACAGACGTTACCTAGGCTGTTATAAAGCACAAGTGACATCTCTCATAAAAAAAGGGAATCTCTCAGAAAGACGAGTTTTATTAACTGAGAGGCAATGCTCAAGATGTAGGGGGAAAAGTCTGGGATAAACAAATATAATAGTCTGGTGGATTTGGGCAAGGCCTGGTCCTGTAGATAGCAAACCATCACCAGGTAATAAACTACATCCATTTCCTACATTCCAGGTGGAAACAGGTAAACACTTCCTTCCTTTGAAGAGACAAGCCTGAGTGCTTAACTTTCCTGTCTTCCTTGGTGCTTATCTATGTGCACAAGGACCCCATACCCTCTACAGGCTTGGGCTTACACAGCCATTTAGTACATTATTATGCAAAATATGCCTGGGCATTAAGTGTTGAGAGGTTTTCCAAGTTACACTTTACAAATTCTTATGAAAGAGTATGTGTTGATCAGACTGAAATTAATTCAGGAGATGAATTATTTATGGGGGAATAAAAGTACACAGAATTGCAAGGGGCAAGAAAATGATGGGCTGTATGCTATTGTGGGAGAACTGCTGTACAAAAGGAATGAATTTGAAAGACAGGCTACAAATCATCCAATTAATGATTGAGAATTGTTTTGACTAAAAGCACCAAGAAGATGGAAAAGGGTCAATGAATTTGAAAGACAGTATTATTAGAAATTTAACATTGCAGCTTGCTTATTAGCTTATGCTTAATACAAAAGGCCAGATAGTTCATGAGCACAATTAAAAGGTTGGGTATGTTAGAAAGTGTTGTTGAATTTAAAATATTCATGAAGAATTCTATAAGATCAATGCCTGTATGTTAGATGACATCATCATTGACTGCAGACACCACAGCACCTAGGGTATGCTGGATGAGGTGATTGCTGATGGCAGACATCATAGCACTAGGGGATGTTAGATGGGGTCATCACTGACAGCAGACACCACAGCACCTAGGGAATTTCCAAGACATTTTTCAGGAATGATTGATAAAGGAGGTTTTCTGAAATTTTTTTCATATAGATGAGTAGGTTAGTTTATTGTAACCCTAGACAAACAGCCAACCCCTAGGTTGGCTTATTTTAGAAAAATATGCTTAGGAAATACATATCAGTGAGGGCAATGAATCTAGATGCAAGAGGCAAAACTCTCAGAAGCTGATTTTTTTGATCTGTGCTCAGGGACTTTATGTTTAGGTTTGTTTAACTGGACTTAGAAAAAAAATCTTACCAACATCACTTATTATTAAGGGGGAACATGTTTATATATATATATATATATATATATATATATATATATATATATATATATATGTGTGTGTGTGTGTGTGTGTGTGTGTGTGTGTGTGTGTGTGTATGTATGTATGTATATATACTATACGAACACATGCATTTTTCCTTTCCATAAATGATGAATCTTACAGTATCTTATAACAAAACTATGCAGAGTATGGATCATATTGTAAGAATTATGTGAAAATGTCAAGGCTAGTTAATATTAAAAAACACCTCATTCATCCATAAGGAACGAATATGTTTCAATTCTAACTAGTCTCTAACTGGACCCAACTGAAATGTGATTCAATTTCAAAAAAGTTTATTAAAAGACTTTCAGACTCTTTGGGACCTCCCAAGTACGCAGATTCAATATTTTGCATATATTGTTAAATAAAACGAGACACCATTTTCATCTCTTTCTATTTAAAATGTGCTATTAGAAAATTTAAAACTACATGTCACATAGATTTTGTGTCACTGGACAATACTGATGTGGATCTACAGAAAGATCCCCAGTAAAGGACACAGAAAAGAATATGCTGACATTCTTACTCTTAAGGCAGAGACAAACACCATATTAATGGAGTTTTCCCACCAAGTTACATTACACAAAATATATTGTATTAAGTAGTTTTATTTCCCCATTCTATTGATTCAGTTGTGATTATGATGAAAATACATTTAACAAAGGTAATTGTTTCAACTTTGAAAAGACTGAATAATGTCTTCAGTTTTTTTTTGAAACTCAGATATTTTTAGGATGCTTTTACAAACTTTCTCTTATGTGGTATTAAGGAATAAAAAATTTAAGATTAGGAAATAGATATTTAATTTTTAGGAAGGAATCTACATTTAATGATCACAAAATTTGAATGATTTGAGTGAATTAATGTTTTAAATTATAAAAATAAGGTTTCTTGTGAGTTAGTTTTCTTATTCTTATGTGAGATGTCAAAATAACTAGTCTGATAATTTTCAAACTTTTACACTATATTGCTCTTGTACTATATCCTTTCCAAGATGAAACAACTATAATTTGATGCTATTATTATTACTGTTATAATACTAATAGTAGCTACCAGTAATAAACTAGATGGGCTCTGGGTCTGGAGAGTATGTAGCTATAAGTACAAAGGAATGCTTTCTCTGCATAAACTATATTACTAATAATGTGGTGATCACAGGTATAGTGTCATAAAGCATTATGACACGATGACATAAAGACACATTGTTTTATTAATGAGACTGCTAATTGTCTTCAGCACAATAATAGTCTCCCAAAGTGTATACCCATTAATCTCTGCAAACGGTGAATATGTTGCTTTACCTGGCACAAAGGAATGTGAGTAGTCATGAAATTAAAGCTGCCAATGATCTGATCTTAAAATTAGTGAGATTATTTTAAAGTATTTGGGTGGGTTGAAGGACAAAGGTCCTCAAATAGCGAAGAGGGAGACAAGAGGAATTTGAGGCATGCTGGCTTTGAGAACGGAAGAAGAGGACTGTAAGCCAGGGAATAAACGAAGCATCTAGAACAGTGGTTCTCAAGCTGTGGGACGCAACCTGTTTGAGGGTCAAACAACACTTTCATCACAGGGATGGCATATCAGCTATCCTGCACATCAGATATCTACACTGTGATTCATAACAGTAGCAAAGTTACAGTTATGAAGTAGCAACAAAAATAATTTTATGATTGGGGGTCAACACAACATGAGAAATGATATTGAAGGGTGGTGGCAGCATTAGGAAGGTTGAGAACCACTGCTCTAGAAGCTAGAAAGGACAAGGAAATCCACTGTCTTCTCTTCTAGTCAGTCTAGAAACATGACTCGATCAGTACCTTAATTTCAGCCCAATAATACCCATGTAGAAATTCTAAAGTACATATGTTTATGGCAATAAATATGTGTTGTTTGAAGCACTAAATCCACTGCAAATTGTTTTGGCAGGAATATGAAATTTGCAAAATAAAAATTATTTCATAAGTGGGCATTTAATCATAAAGGAAAGAATGAGACTAAAACTTTAGTGAGGTAGACCCAAATCTATCCTCAATACAGCAGATAAATTAAAAACCAGTCTGTGTCAGATGGGACATCAGGTCAACACCAAGATCATCTCTTTCAAACAAGATTGCAACCACAATGGGACAGTAGAATATTTTTAAAAATTCCTATCAGAAAAAGGAGCTTAGCTGTGCTCAGCATCTAATCAGACAAACAGCAAATAGGCCTACTTAAAATAGCAACGACAAGTACTGCTAACCTAGTACTGGATGTGTTAGCTCAGTGCTATGTTCCAGACAAGAACGACAGGAACTTGGCAACAGAAGTTTTAGACTGTGACCCTTTAACACAGGCAAGAAATCAGCAGTAGTAAAGAGTAATATGACAGATATAAACAGATATTTGAACTCCTTTTCATTATTGGATGTTTAAATTCGTGTCAAATAAAAATGTTCGATGGTCAAAGTGACTGTTTTCACTAAATTCACTTCAGGGACTCTTCAAGGTCAGCTGCTGAGGGAAAGGCTTTGAGGAAAATGCATGATGCTGAGGCAAAAGATGGAGTAGGCCACGTTTCCTTTGTATTTCTGCCAATGAAACACCACACACACACACACACACACACACACACACACACACACACACACAAAAAAAAAAAAAAAAAGATCAGACACTATTGAAGAACTAGTTCATAGCATGGCTGACAGGACATTTTAAAATAAATCCCACTTATCAACTTCCAAAGTCTATGTTCATAGCAATACCAACACTACAATTTTCTTGTATTACTAGAAGAAACATTTCCAGAAAATTTCAACATGAGGCAATAACTCTATTGCTTCTGTTTAGACACTTGTGTTTTCAACTTGTTTCTGAAATATTCAGAAGGAAAATAACTGACTTCCTTTCTGAATGTCTTTGATAAGAGACAACTGAAGAATGACAACAAGATCCTGCACAGCAGCATTTTACATGCAAATTCTGTATGAATGAATATCAACATATTAGAAGGAAACACATTCCGAAGGCGAAGGCGGAAATCATGGTGGGATTAAAGAACTCATCCAATTCCCTTTTCCCTGCTTAGGCTGTAGAAGGGAGAGTCTACAGGCAGCTCTGGAGTGAGAAGACACACGAGAATGAATGTACTGCCCTCTTACAGGAAAGACGAAATCACCCATGTGTTCAGAGTCAGAACAGTATGAGGTAAGTTTGTGACTAGAGCAACTGGTTCTGCCACAGGAAAGAAAAGGACCAAGAGCTCTTAACAGAAGCGCTAGGGTCCAGACCAGAAGTGGATAAGAAGTACTATAATGATAAGCCCTATAAGGGCTTCATATCTCAACAAAGAAACAGGGTAAACATAGGTCATTGCTTATTTCTTGTTATTTACTTTTATCTATTAAGTGACTTATTTATGATATTTAAATATATATTGCAACACCATTAGATGTAACTTGCATTCAAATAATATTAATGCATCATTTTTCGTTTGCTCATATATTACTAACTAGCATATATTCAATGTACAAAATGAGCAAAGTATATGATAAGCATGCATGAAAATGGTACAATGTATTATATTCTTTACAGAAAAAGCATAATTATAAAGTAAGTACCACATAACTTCCTCTCACTTATCTACCTCAGGGAAGCTCGAAGGAACAAATACAGTAGGAATAAATGAAATAATCTTGAAGAAGTAGGGGACTTAATCTGAAAACTATGTTAAAATATCATTCAAGTCTTATAAAGGAAAAGATTAGAGATCAGAATGCTTGTTGGCATAGTTTGGGGCATTATAACACTCCTATAATTATAATTATGGGAATGCCATAATTCTATAGTCTGATAGCATTCTGAGTATTCTCCGTCCTCCATCCTTACCCACCCCAACCCATGACCTAATTATGAAGTCACATTAAAAGAAAATAAATTTTTAAAGTTCCCCTATTTATTTTACAATAAATTAGATTCTGGGCAATATGATTGCCTTTGGCATTAAATGATCAGAGCTGCTGTTTTTCCACATACAAATGAGGCAGAAAGTAAAAGGATATTATGCAAAACTGGAGACAGAATCTTTCCATTTTTGAAACAGGTTTAGCATTTTTTCAAACAATTAGGAAAAGTAAACATAAGTCAAAACAAAAATCCTGGTTTGTTTGCTTTTATAGCATACTACTACTACTACTACTACTACTACTACTACTACTACTACTACTACTACTACTATTATATGCCTGCTTGTTTTCTAACAAGAGAGAGAGAGAGAAAGCATGGATTTGGGTGTTTGGGAAAGCGGGAGGATCCGGGAGGGGCTGGAGAAGGGGAAGACATAATCACAATATATTGTATGAAAAAAAATCCATTTTCAACCATAAAGTAAAAAAAAGTTTGTACAAGTACATTCTGATCAGATGACTAGGGAGAACTAAAACTCTATCAAGTATAAAATTCAGAGGGGGTAGCAGTTTAACCAAAGGAGGCAAGAAAGTTTGCTTGAAATTCGAATCCCTCTTCTCAGGGCAAAGGACACACTAGGGAAGTAAGGGACGCCTACCTTGTTCAGTGGGCTCCCTCACGTAAGGCCGCAGGTGGGACATTTTGATGGGCCTCTTCAGTCGGGTCCCTGTGTTGTCCCTCAGGACAGCACATCCACTCTCCGTGATGTAGTCTATGACACAAGGGCCGACCCATTCCGACTGGAAACGGCCATCTTTCCACCAGTTCTTCCTCTGTCGTAGAACCTCGTGACCCACTTTTAAATGAAATGGATTTAACTGCTTTGGTTTCTTTTTAACAGCCTTCGTTTTGTTTAGTTCATCCAAATTGTTGTTCTCCGTCTGTCAATGCAAAACCAGAATTATGACCGGGCTTAATTTAAATGCATATACTGATCAGAGACGGTAGCAGTGGGCATCGACTGAGTTGTTACCGAAATGAAGGACTCCTAACTAGTTCTTTAAAAATATTTTCAAGTTGGTATCTCTCTTTACATAGACGGTAAAACACACAGGCTGAGTGCTTCTGAGAACTTGCACTAGCACAAGTACAGAGTACAAAGTTCTACAACTGCTAACGAGGGTACAGATTAGACACCAGGTCCACGCAGCCTTCCCAAAGTCATACCCTACTGTCCCTTTCTCAGACTTTCATCGTCTATCAGCAGACGATTCAGGGGCTGGGGAACAGGTTCAGTGGTCAACGCCTGATACACACTCACGAGGCCATGACTTCAGATTCCCAGCACCCACTGGACACAGTACCACACATCAGTAACCCCAGCAGTGGAGGGGGAGGGGTGAGCCTGGCACACCCGGGTGCACTCTGGGCAGCCTGGGCAGCTGAGTTCGTGAGCTCCAGTTTCAGGGAGGGGCCTTGGCTCAAAAGCTCAGGCTGAGAGTGAGGAAGACAGTGGATGTCTATTACCAGCCTTGACACACGTTCACACGTGTGCACATGCACTGCACAAATACATACATAATCGACATAAAGCACATACATACACATGAAAACAATAAACAAGCACATTACTTAACCAAAATAAGCAGGACTTGGTAGATAAAAACTTTTCATTTTAAAAATTTTTTTTTTTGCTTAAGGGTATATCATGTCCACATACGTGAACATGCCCACATGCTGAGATTTTAAACATAACTCCTCTTCTGTAGGGCTTCACAGAGCTTTTCCGGTACAGACTTACCTGGCCAGCTGATGGTGTCTTGTCCTCCAATACCACATCAGCCTCTCTAACTGCAGCTACGATTCTGGCAAACACGCTTGTATTTTCCCCACCCACTTCGGGAGGCCACTCCAGCAGACAGGGATTCCGGTTGAACATCTGGAAATATGGCGTGTTTTTAGTAGGCTCTGAGTGAGTCACATTGAAGGCAAAGGAAAGCGCAGGCAGATGCTCGTCCCAGGTGTTTGGGTGGTCGGCACAGTGTTTGGAGAGAAAGCCTTTGATTGTGCTAGGTGTACTTTCAGATGGATTAACGCTTCCAGAAGCATGAGAAATGACAATCTGTTTTGTACCAAACAATCTATATAGTTCTGTATTGATCTGGAAAATACGAAAAACAAAACTGACTGTTTGAAGTTCTTATTTTTCCTCTGGCTTAAAAAAGGTTTCAAGAAACCCAAGTCTTGTCTTTCATTGAACACAGGCATTCAGATAAAATATATAAGCACTTTGGGTAAAATTCTACTGAGTCCTTACTAAGTGCTGATCAACACATGGAATGTCATTTTTGTCATTACATGTCAGGATGACTTTATGATGTATTATTAACTCCGTTTTAAAGACACAAGCTTAAGATTTGGGAGTCTAAGCACATAATATATACACACAACAAGGAAACTGAAGGACAGAATTCAAAAATAACCTTGTGGTCAAGTAATTTTTGAATTCCGTAGACTATTTTTTTTCAAAGGACCACTAGGTCACATGACACAGTTTTCTCCTTTGTAAATTGAGAAAAACCCTACCCACAGCTACCTAGAGGCATATACAAAGTAATGCTTGTAAGAAATCAAACAGCTCTCAGCAAGGAGTAAGTACGGAATTTATAGAATTTAATGGCAACTACTATTGCTGTTATAATAATAATTTCCATGGCCTGGACTTCAAAGAATCCAGGATGAGTTTAGGACACTTGTAACAGTAAGTCTCTCAAATGTTAAACAACTATTTTCTTTCCATGTTGATGCTTTCATATTTTCTGTTATTTTAATTTAGTTAACCTTCAGCTGATTAATTTCTCTTTAAAAGAATATTTTCTACAAATAACTGTCAGGATAATTAGAAAGATAAAGATTATCAGAGGGAAGCTAATACATGCCTCACATTTCCCACGATCCCTAGAAGGCAGACGTGGTCACGTGAGAACTTGGCAGAAAAAGACACGAGTTACAATTTTTGTGCAAACTCAGCCAGCGCTAGCTTTTTTTTTTTTTTTTTTTTTTTTGCCCACCGTTCTCCCCTGTTAACTGCAATATAAATATTATGACATGGGCTCCACACTGTCACACAAGACTGACAGCTGCTTTCCCAGAGACGGGAAGAAGCTGGGAGCCTGAGTTCCCACATGTTCACTGCTTTCCTCCCAACCTTACGTAGCTTACACTTCTTTCACTTGAGTACAAAAGGCGTTTCTATTTCCATTTTGGTTTTAGGGAGAGGAATTCTCTGTTGCTTGCACCTGAGCTTGACTCCTCACCCATTCTTATGTGGAAGACTATATGATACTTAAGTCATGTGACCACTCTATAAGGAATAGCTTTTTAAAATTTAAATTTTGTATTCATAAATTTAATTAGCTGCTGAAATGAAAGAATGAATAAGGAATCTACTTCAACATGTTTTCCATTTTGCTCTTACTGAACTTTATGTGTCATGTGTGACTACTGAATTACTTAGTTATTATCAATCTGTAGTGTTAATAAAGCCTTTTAGTTTGTATACCTATTATAGTTACCTATATAAATATATAATATGTACATATAAAATTATTCTTTATATTTTTAACATGATATAAATATGGTCAATCATTTCATGCTAGTTAATATCATTTTATTATATTTTTATTTTTGGTTGTTCTTAAGCTAGAAGTAAAAAATATTATTTAGTTCAATCATCTCACTTTAGTTTGAAGATATCAAAAGATAGGCTTACAATTACTTAGTAGTAAAGTAGTAATAAAAATCTTGATTTCCTAATCTCTAGTTCAACAAATCTAGTACTATACATTATATACCTCCATATCTAAAGCAATTTATTTGAGTGTATTAAATATCCTATAAGAACTGTGTGCCAGACACCAAGAGTGATAGCTGCTCCCAAATGTGAGCACTCTGTCCTACCTGTTCAATGAATTCATCTCTTTGGTCCATTATTATTTTCTGAGGAGGTCCATATAAGAAAAATATATTGATAATAGCTTTAGAAATTTCTGATGCTGAGACATCACATAAAGGCAAAATCATAACCCATTTTGTGAACAAATCAGTCACAATTATAGCATAGACATGACTCCTGTGGCTGGTATGGAAAGGTCCCATCAGATCCGCAGTAACTACACTCCATGGATTTCCCACCGTGAGAAGGTGCTGCTGAGGTGCCACCACAACTGTATTTTTTGCTACTTGGCAATGCTGACAAGCATATACCTACAGAGAGGCACACAACAAGAAAATGCATACAAATGTTAAAATAGTCACCATAATACCTCAGTTTTATGAAGCCGAATCTCTCTATTTTAAAGGAAGTTTACTGGCCTGGCAACAGCCCATTAAATGAAGCCTTTTATTTAGAACAAGCAAATATCGGTCACCACAGCTGTGTAGCTAGGAAGTCCAAACGGCTGCACCACAGGGACCGCTCATACTCTGATTAAATGATAATCTCAATAGGGCCTCATTCAAATGGAATATGATTCTGGTTCACATTCAAATATATATTAAATCAACAGATCTTAGAATAGTTTTTTTTTTATTATTTTATTTTTAATTGATGCATTTATGTAATCCTTTGACTCAGGATGCTGAAGCCTGACAGGGCAACATGGTAAATTCAAATCCAGCTGGGTCACATCATAGGAACCCAATTGCCAAAAAAAAAAAAAAAAAAAAAAAAGAAATAGATAAAAAGAAAAAAAAATGAAAAGGAAGAATATAACAAAGAATCTCCTAATAGGCTACCATGAAATATTCCATTTTCTATTATTTTAAGCCAGCATGTGGCTATGCAATAATTTATACATACAAATGACATTTCTTCCTATAGTCTTTATTCTAAAGTTCATTCATTCACCCATTTCACTAATATTGGCTGAGCTATAATTTTAATCAAATCATATCTAAAGATGCCAGAAACCTCCCTATGTCCTAGGGGAAATCGAGGTCTCATGAAGCTGTTATTTAAGTCAGTGGTTCTCAAACTGGGTCGTGGCACCCTGGGGTCGCATATCAGATATTTACATTATGATTCACAACAGAAGCAAAAATACAGGTATGAAGTAGCAATGAAATAATTTTATGGTTTGGGGTCACCACAACATGAGGAACTGCATTGAAGGCTGAGAACCACTGGTAAGTAGATTAAGAAGAGATCAATTGATTAATTTATAGATGGTGCTGTTTTTAAAACATTTCCAGACTTTCACTTTGGAAGTTATTTCCAAACCAAGGTCTAAAAAAATAATTAAAAACAAAAATAAAAACACAAACCCTCATCATTATGATCAAAGTAATTCTTTTTTAAAGATAATAGAGACAGAGATGTGTATTAAGAAACAGAAAGTCACTCCTGAAAACGGGAGTGGACTTGCGAGCTGGGAAATGCTCATGATAACTGTTCTTCATGATCGCTCTCATTTTCAACTTTAATGCAGTCACCAGTTACAAAAAGCATTATTTTAAAAATGATACCTTTTCTCAAATTATAACCGCTTGATATTTATTTCACTGAATGCATGGAACACTTACAAATTGGATTTAGGTTCCTGCCATTTAGATTTGACAATTTTCTATCTCCAGGATAGGTACCAAAGCTGAGAATCCACACGGAGATTGAATTATGAATGCACTTATTTTGATTATATAAAAAGTCATTCATGGTGGCATTAAAGATATAATAGTTATCTAAAGAATTTCAACCTCAATTGAATTTGCCTGCAAAATGGAGCTCAAAGTTCCAATTCTCAATAATTTCCTATCAAAATATTGTATTTTCTTGGTCTAATTCATACTCTACTGATTTAAAATACTTATAAAGAAAAATAAACTTACTTTTAATTTAAATGTTTTATTTAAAAAATAACACATAAAGTACTTATCCCATAGGTGAATTGTACAGTACATTGTACAGCAATACTGACCTTTGTATTTATTAGAAAGACAATAAAAACGTTTCTAAACACACAAGCCATACCCACTGTTTGACGTCATTGGTCACGGAAGTCCAGTAGTAACTGGACTCCACTAGAGTGAGAGTTCTGGATATGCCATGGTGAACACCAGTGCCATTTTCGTGGCACTCTCTTAGGACTTTCTTTTTTTCTTCTTCTGAAACAACTACCAAACGATTTTGTTTTCTGTCTTTTCCAACATAAAACAGCTTTTTTTCTGAAATGAATGACATAAAAAAAAAATCTGTAATTTTCAAAGCTCCATAGTGTTTAGACCATTATAGCCTTAAATTAAAACCATGAAAATTTTTAATTTTATTTTTACAGAAATCTTTCTTTGAAACAGAATATTTACTTGCAATGCTAGTGCCATGTATTCTGGAGACCCAGAAGGGCCCCCATCTGCTATAATTCTGTAGGTATCAATGTAAATGGAGTAAGCTTGCTCACTAAAGCATGTGGTAACTCTGAGAATATGAAATGGCCCTTCTCTGGGAGTACTCAAGTTAGAGAAGTATTTGTAGAAGCTATTAAAAATGGCTTGGGTTATACAATGAATTCTGTATAGATGGAGAGCTTCTTGGTACAAAGTTTCCTGAACAACTCATTATAACTGTTTTTTTGTAAGCAGCCCCATTTCTTTCCTTGTTCTGAGTTGAGTAGAGGGGGGGGGCCGGGGCGGACAGAGGGGG